ACTCAGAACGTGATACGATTGACTCAGAACGCCGTCAAGAAACACCAGAGCAAGATGAGCATAATATGACTGATATAAAACCACAAGTTAGAGCAACTCTTTCTAGCACCATCAGCGAGAACGAACACAGTCTTTTGCAAAAATTTCGCAGCAAAGTTGATAAAATAGAGTCTAAAGTTTGCCCAATATGTAACGAAAGAATTCTATTGATAGTTCTTATCAAAGGTATGATGTGTCATTGTTGTCATACGAAGAAAAATAGCCCAAAACAATCTTCTGAGAAAAATAATATGGATCCAGGAGAAGTATCTGATGAACTACAAGGTCTCACAAAAATCAAAGAAATGTTAATAGCGCAGATTTTCACAGTCATGTCAGTATACAGACTATGCGGCCGACAATACAGATACTGTAATAACGTCATCAATTTCCCACAAGACGTACACAAATTTACTAAATGACTTTCGTGAACACCATCATTAATAAATATACTTACCATAAGGCAACAATCATCAGATGATTTAACGATTTTCTGGGATTTTATCGTATAACAGGATAAAGTTGCACAAGCATTAGTGTAGTTAAAAACAAATAATCAATACTATGCTGATATAATCATAGATAAAGAAATTATCAAAAACTTACCTAAAAACGGATCTATTATTAATCAACTTCCGCGGATTGTAAGCGATCAAATAACAGACGAAGAAACAGATAATGACGAAAAGATAGACAATGACAAAGAGGAAATTATACGAACATTTGTTCTTTCTTATTCATCAATACAGCAAGAAATTGATGCGATCAAAGATACTCTTCGGCGGATACAAAATTACAATAGTCCTTCATTGTAGCCAAAGATAGATGAAAATCTAATAAATAAATTTCAAATATCCGGATACATGATGAGAGCGTTTCTAATGCTATATCCACATGGAAGAGAAGATCTTTGTTCTGAGCGCGTTAGAGACATTAAACCAGCAGAATACTTCAAATATTTAATATAATATAAGGATGGAAGATTCGCTCGATACACGTTAGAAGTATTTTGCCTTCAATTCGATGATGAGATGGAGGGCACTTCAAGAAGGGAAAATATATGTTAAGCAAAATTTCAAAGATGGACAGGTTGATGTTTCAGACATCCAGGAAATAATAACAAATAGGGACAAACAAATGGCTGATTGTATTATGAAATATGGTGAAGGATTACGCAGAATATGACAGTTCTAGATAGCAAGATGATATGAGCTGACAGACATGATTAAACAAATAGAACATCAAGGATTAATTTTTTTTACCTTCAGCGCAGCGGACCTGCATTGGCCTAAACTTCACAAATTAATGCAACCTGAAAAGCATTTCAGCGAAGAGACAGATTCAGCTAAACAAAGGCAGAATAATATCATCGAAAATCCACACATAGCCAGCTGGTTTTTTCACAAGAGATTTGAAATTTTCTTTCATGAAGTACTGAAATAACATTGGGAACTCAAAGATTAGTACTACCATTATGAATGACAACATCAGGAGAGTGTTCATGTCCATGGAATAGGTAAAAGAAGGAATGCATCTATAATCAACTGGAATAAAATGAAAGAAAATAAAAGTGTGATAAAAATGTGATACAATACATTGATTCAATAGTCACAACAATAAATCCAGGAATTTTTGCTACTATACCTCAGAGATATCTATACCAAAAAAGCAGCAGTGAAATAGAAGATGATTTACAAGATTATATTGAATTAATAAACAAGCTTTAGCGGCATACACGTTGCAGCCCTTTATATTGTATCAGACGCAATAAATCAGAACAAGAAGCATGTAGATTTGGGTTTTCCAAAGAGCACACTGACAAGACTTTCATAGGAGATGATATTTACGGACAACTAGAGCTTGTAACAGCCAGAAATAATCCCTATATCAATCCTCATAACAGACTTCAATTACAAGGCTGGCATGCAAATGTGGATCTTAAGCCAGTACTTAGTATTCATGTAGCACTGTAATATATTTCAAAATATGCTAGTAAATCAGAACTAAGATCAATGGTATTCTCGGAGATTTTCAATAAGATTCTTAATAAAAGTAATCCTAAAGATGCTTCACTCACATCAATACAAAAACTCCTAATAAATAGTGTTGCAGAATGAGATATTTCAATACAAGAAACCTGCCATCTTCTTCTAAGAATACCTCTCTACCACTCAAGCAGGGTATTTGTTTCACTAAATATTAATGAGATAGCACCAAGATGGCTGCATGATACAGGAAGCAATGAAGATGGAGAAGAATTCAGATCTCTCAATAATTCTAGACGCACTGCTAAATCAACACTTAACATTTACTGGGAGCGACCAGAAGAGTTCGAAGAATATTCAATATTTAAGCTATATTTAACACATAAATTAATCAATGGAGTATGGAAAGATGTGCAACAGAAAATATAGTAAGAATATGACTACAACCATTACCTTTACGTAATAGAGATCAATGGGAGGAATATTATAAAATTAAAGTGATTCTTCACATGCTTCATCATAGTATCGAACAAATAAAAGAAACTAGCGATATACTGTAATTAACAATATACAATCAACAAATAGAGAAGATTAACAACGATCACAATGACACGCTTGGAAATCCTGTAGAAAATAAAGAAGAGGAGATCAGTGATAATGATAGTAGAGAAGAATTGGAGGAGGATGACGAAAATGAGGAACAGAGGTTAAACTGGATAATTCTTTCTGAAATGGGACCAAGAGCAATCATAGAGCGATCATGTGACTTAGGTTCACGTTTAAAGGATCAGAATCATGATTGAATCAATGAAGGTCGAAAAAACTATCTTGATGATGATATAGTAAAAGTCAGCAATTTTGATCTAAATGATTTACCAAATGAGCAAGATAAAGATAGCGCTAATGAAGAGTCTGAATTCACATCAACCTCTAGTAAGTTTTTATAAAGGAAATGGATCATCAGTTAAGTCTATTATTCATTAATTAGTCTTTTGATATAAAGTTTATTATCAGATTAATGGAAAGTTAATTTTACTTTTATAAAGCTATTTAGTTTATTAGTTTATTTAATTTATATTACATATATATTTATTTATTAATGTATATTATATATTAAAAAAAAAAAAAATAAAAAAAATAAAAATAATAATAATAATAATAATAATAATAATAGAAAAATTAAATAATAAAAAAAAAAATTTAAAAAATAGAAAATAAAAAAATTTATTTATATGATAAATATAATATAATCGTCAAATATTTAATAAAAATATCTTACCAGATTTTTTTTTTTAATATAAATCAAGCTTCAAAAAGCCATGATGGTGAACCAAGCAATCATGAATCTAGAGATCATGATAGAGGTCGTGGTAGAGGCCGTGGTGATGAACCAAGTAACTGTGAATTTAGAGGTCATGGTAGAGATTGTGATAAAGGCCGTGATGATGAACTAAGTAACTGTGAATCTAGAGGTCGTGGTAAAGGTCGTGGTGGTAAATCAAAGGATAGATTTAATATCCTTCAGCTTCAATTAACTCATATTGAGGTAGCCTTTTTACCTCCTAATACTATAAGCCATCTTCAGCTACTTGACACCGAGATCATTGCAAGCTTTAAAAATCATTATAAGAGGCATTTTTGTCGTCATATGTTAAACCTATTTGATGATAGAAAAGATATTAGTAAAGAGAAAATCAATATTAAAGAAGCAATTGATTACTTAGTGGATACATGGAAGCAAGTAACTGAAGAAACCATTCACAACTGTTAGAAAAAAACCAGAATTCTGCCTTCTTCAACTGATGAAAATATAGATAATGCAACAAAAATCCAACAAAATTCAGCAGATCATGAAGAAGCAAAGATTAATCAAATAATAGAAGAAATTGAAAAACTTAATGATGATTCTTATAATGCTTTATTAAAAAATACATTGACTGATTATTTTTATGAATTAGAAGAAGTTCTAACTGAAGATATTCTAAATGATAATGATATTATACAATTAGTTCAAGAGGAAATACATGAAGAAAATGATACTAATGATGATTCTGAAGAAGAACCAATATTAATATCTCCAAATGAAGCTTTCAAATCTTTACAAATTTGGATTACATTTTTTGATCAATAGCAAATAGATAAATTTAGCATTGAAGATGGTTATATCTTTAAAAAATACTTAAATATAGTAAGACGGCTTGAAGTTCAATCTCAAAAGTAAGCTCCAATCACTGATTTTTTTAGTAATCATGAAAATTAAATAGAAATTTATGTAATCTGATAATATTTTTTTTATATGATTTAATAAAAATAGTATATTGGTTAAAATAAATAAAATATCATGATAAATTTTACTTATAAAGCTAACAATACTAATTTAACTTCTAAATAATCACTATATATTTGATTATCATATAGTTATGATTATATAAAGGTACCCTTTTTACAGTTACATCTTTATATAATTACTAATTTTAGCGAAACTAATTGTGTGACTATATAGAGGTCTAACTATACTCAGGTATGACATAGCCTTCGCGTAAGACTTATCCTTCCTAGATATATACTCAGATATAATATGAAGGCTTCTTCAGAATTACTGCACCACCTGACACGATATCATTCAAAAAAGAGATGCATAGCAAGCTAGTAAGCAAACCGTAAATAAAAAGCAAGCAGATATATCTAAAAAAGTGTAATCTTCTGCATATTCTATTATATAAATATTGGCAGAAGACTACTCTATCACTAGTATGTATTCGGGTATGATGAATGCTTCTGTATAATCTATTATATAAATATTACAGCAGAAGCTTCATTTTTCTAGATATATACTCAGGTATAGTATAAATAGACTAGCCATAAGAATACATATCACACCTCTAACTTAAGACGCGAAATTAGTATACATATACTAGTGCAATAGTTGAATTATGAAATGTTTAAAATATTGACAATCAAATAGACTGGCCATGATAATACAAATTGCATCACCAATATTCTAACCAACTAACTATAAATATATTACCAGTTTTAGAACGTAAAATCGCTATACATATATTGGTAATAAATAGGCAATAGTTAGGTTGTAAAATGACATCAGCTTCAATCTTTCAAATTGTATACCTCAAAATTATTTTATCCTGGTAATCAAATGGGTCAGACATAATCTCTTGAAAGTTACGCAAATTAAACTTTTTTATATATAGTACTCGCATAGATATTATCATACCCAATATTTACTCTATATTCGATTAAGATGAAATATGATAGAAACACTTACGGAAAATGAATATACTTTATAAGATGAATAAGATAAACATTATGCTTACTCAATTTGTAACAATGGTCTAACAACATCTCGTAAAATTATGTATTGAATCACGTAATAATAATTTGAACTTCAGAATATACTTATACTGGTGTAATAGTTAGATCGCAAATAGTACACCTCTGGCAATCAAATGGGTCAGGCTAAGGAGCATAATAACTCAGCATTCAAATAAGCATATAAAACTGGTGAACTAATAGAACTATACTAGTTCCTCATCACTTCTATGATGCTACTATGGTACCAACTTAGATCCTTCAAATCATGTGTCTAAAAGATCAATCAGAAATTATGTTATAATACTGACTAAATTTAGACGCAGATTTATATTGAATTTACTGTACCATTCATCACCTTTTTTATATGATTTCAGCATCTAAAAAGGCAACCAAATAGACGTAAAGAAAAAGCACTCTAATATAGAATCTAGCATCTAATCAGACGCAGGAGACCAGTATTCTTAACATAAAATCAGATATCAAAACAACTATAGAGAGTCAACAACTCCATTATAGAATTTATCATGTAAATGAATTAAAAACAAAAGAAAGCAGAAGCTATTAGATCATGACATCACCATTAAATTAAATCACTACATTCACTATTAGACTATAAAGTCACTACTGTATTATATAAGAAATAGTTAAATAATGCGATAAATACAAAGGAGATACCCATATATAGATTATGAAGTCACTATCAGATTGTGATATTAGGTTATGAAATTATCACCAGATTATGTAATTAGATTATGAAATTACTAGCAGACTATGAAGTTACCACTATATTATGAAGCTACTGGCAGACTATAAAGTTACCATTATATTATGAAGCTACTGACAGACTATGAAGTTACTACTATATTATGAAACTACCAGCAGACTATGAAGTTACCACTATATTATGAAGTTACTAGCAGACTATGAAGTTATCTTCATAACCTAATCTAAGTTGCATGTGACTTCATAATATAATTATATTATAAAGTTACATGCGACTAAAATATCCTGTCCTATTTGTATATATTTCGGAAGAAGAGTGAAACATGTATTGCATGTATTATAGCATTGAATAAATGAAACTTTCTTAATTTCTTAATTTTTTAGATTAATATAATATAATCTAAGCTATACCAAATCACATGATATATATATAGAAGTATAATATAAGATATATCTAAGAGATTCCTACAACCCTCATATTCCTAAAAATATTACATAATTAATGTTATGATCTTTATTAAGATCTATTAAATAATTATATTTTTATATTTCTAAAATTAATAGATAGCAAGATATATAAATTTAAATTTAAATTTTTTTTTATTTTAATTTATTATATATTTATCTTTAAAATATTATTAATTAATTATATTTTTTTGAATTTTTACTTAAAATATCATAAAATTTATTATAAAAATATTAATTTTTAAATAAATTATTTTAAAAATATTTAAAATTATTAAATAAAATTGCTAGCAAATTTACTTGTAATACACTTGAAAGAATAATATTATTATAATTGTATTTAGACTATTAAATCAAGTAATAATAATATAATAGATAGCAGAAAAATAAAAAAATTGTTTTGAAAATATAGTTAATTCTAGTTATAATGAACTCTATGTCTTAGATCTCAACTTTGCTATAAGATTATAGTAAAGATTTTAAGAGATTTAATTAGCTAATTCACTATAATAAGAGTATTTTTATTATATTTGTTTAAAAAATTCATTATATAAAAAGTTTATTATATCAAGAGTTAACTATAAGAATAATAATAAATTTAATTAGAAAAAATAGAAAAACTAATACAACTAAGTTAGAAAATTAAATTATAATGATTATATTTAGATTATTAATTAGGTTATAAAATTATAAATTATATTATTAAATTATAAATATATTATTTAGTTATAATCAAATTATTTATTATAAGTAAAGATAGTACCTCAATTAGTTATAACAAGTAACAAATAAGAATAAACATCATAATATTACAATTAATTGTAATATTATTAAAAATCAAGTTGTAACAGATAATAAATAAGTATCACAATATTATAATGTTATTTTTAGTTATAGGTGTATTATTTAGTCATATTTAGATTATTATATATTAAATAATCTAGTTTAAGCCAATTATAATTAAATAATATAATTAAGTATTTGATTATTATTAGCTAATAATATAATAAAATTATTTTGAAAAATTATTATTAAGAATAGTAATAACATTTTAAAAAGAGTATCTTTTTATATTGCAAGTTTTTATTTATATTCTAAATTATTTTTTATAATTTATATAAAAATAAAAAAATCTTATATAAAGTTACTTATCTTAATTTATTTTGAATTTAACAAAATATCTAAACCTTTAATTTTGCTAATTTTTAATAAAGTTTTAATATGATTTTGCTATTTTTATTTAATTTTACTTTTTGAGTTTTACAGATTTTTAATAAGATTTTACAAAATTTTACAATTTGAACAATTTGCAAAAACTAAAGTTTTGTTTAATAATATTAAATTTATATAATAATAAATATTTTTTTAAAATTGTATATAAAATAAAAAAAACGTAAAAAATATTTAGATTTTTTAAAATAATAAAAAAATGCATTATAAATTCAACTAAAATATTATTATTTACGTTAATTTTTTATTAGATTATATAATATTTATTTGATAAATTTTATTTTTAATTGAATATTTAATAAAAATATATATATAATAATCAATAATATATTTTTTGATAAATAATATAAATTATATTTGTAAATAGATAATAAATTTATATAAGTATATTTATATTATTTATATATTTATAACATAATTATTTCTCTTAAATGATTTTGCTTACAAATTTGCTTGTAATTTTATTTAAATTATCCTAGCGTTAGTAATCTTTTTTTAAATTTAAAATATGTAATATGTAATATACTTACTATAATAGGAAATTTAGGACAATAATGAATTTAAAGGTATAGATTGACATCAAAAATTTGCGCCCAATGAGGAATTTTTGACCTTAAGGGTGACTTTATACGTGTATATGAAGGCTGCATGTTCAACTTGGCAACAAAAACGCCTCCGAGATCAACTAATTTACAAGTGAGTTTTGCTTTATTATTTTTGTTATTATTTAATGACAGGTAACGTAACCTTATAATACGTATACTTTAACGTAGTTTTTACTGGTTTTTAGATCTAAGTCGAAATTTACTTTGTTATAACTGATTTCGAGTAATTAACAATCACAATGTCTGATGCTGATGACGTTACAATGATCGAGGACACAGAGAATTTGGATCTCGAGTGGCATTGTCAGTTAATTAAATGTTTGAATGGTTTTTTTTATCTTCTATATATTCAATTATAAAATAAAATTATATTTAGGCACAGACAATGGTCCTTCAGAAAGAAAACGTTCTTGGCACTGGGTGAGTATTTATCTGTCAAATTAATACTTTAATAACACGTTGAATATTAATCTTGTTATACATTATCTTTTTAGCTCCGTGAGGTCACTGCCCAAGACGCCGATAATGGAATGGATGTGGTAACTATCTCTCGTGTTGTCAGTTTTTTTTTTATCTAACGCGTGTTCATTGAAAATGATTTACTTTTGCCAAATTCTAGCAAGGAATTACCTGGGACGCCTTTAATGTAACGCGTCAAAGATATCGCGAACTTCGGTTCGTTCTTTTTCGTTTGCTTCATCACAAATATTTATATTTAATAATTATTAACCAATATCGATTCTATTCTTACGTAGCCTTTTAGATTATAAGAACTACGAAAATGTCCCGAGATCACATGATGAATTAAAGAAGGTTTAGATAGTTTGTATTTATTTAATTTGTTTTCATATACTTTAGATTATATTAAAAATCACGCGATTTATTGTTTTTTCCAGGAAATTAAATCAGTTCGAACCGACGCACGATTTTACAAATTTAAATATACCACCTTATCACACAGATGCTCTATTGTTCATTTTCAATTGCGAAATTTGCTTTGGGCAACTGGAAGAAATGATGTATTCTACACACGTAAGCATTCATTTTTCTAAAAAAAAAAAATATTTTCATTCAAATCATTAAATGGTTTACCGTTTACCGTTGATTTGTAGATTCATTTCGTATTGGTCATTGGAATTCAATAATGAAAAAATCAAAAGTTGCATTAGATCTGAACAATAACAATCGTAGTGCTGAAACACTATTTGAAATTAGCACAATTGCCTGCAAAGACAATTATCTTCTTGTTGGAGGTATTACATCAAATTCTGGTAGCATTATACCGTTTTACGTTACAATATGACTAAAATTAAAATATTACTCAGGATTATATGGTGAATATGCATGCAGACGTCTTGATGCAGAACCAGTTCAATATGGAACTATAACTAATGATACAAATGGAATAACAAATCACATGGATATCATTGAATCACGAACCGGAAGTAAGTTTATTATTTTGAGGAAATTTTCTAATTTTATTATGATTCGTATTTTTAATTAATTATGTTATATGCTTTAAGGTATTGTTGCAGTGATATCTAGCAATGACAAAAAATCGAGAATTATGGATCTTGCGACAACGAGATTTATAGATACTTATGATTTTGAATGGGCTGTTAATGTATGTTTTCGGAAACAATTCATCATTTGAAATAATGGATTCAATCTTAACTGTTTTTTAATGAACCAATAGTGTACTTCCGTTAATCCGAACAAAGATTTACTGTGTGTTGTTGGAGATAATACGGATACGGTTGTTGTAAATGCAGATACGAAAAAGAGTTTGTTATTTTATCTAATTTAATAACTGTTTTCCATCTATTAAATTCTAAAAGTTATTAAATATTTAAACTTTCTTTAATAGCTGTAGCAACTTTAAAAGGGCATTTTGATTATTCTTTTGCTTGCTGCTGGAGTCCCGATGGAAAAATTATTGCAACAGGGAATCAAGGTACTTTATCTCATTATAATTACTAACTATCATATCTTTCGCACTTGTAATGATTAGTAACTTTCCAATACTATTTGATTTACAGATAAAACTACTAGGTAAATTAATTAGCTTCAGTTGTTTCAGGAATTTATTTTACCATTTTAATTAAATTGTTTATAATATATAGGC